TCAACCTTAAATAGTTTATAATTGCCATAGGATTAATGCACTTTGACCTAATAGCTTGGACTTGGTGATCCCATTTTAGCGAGCTGTGAAACAGAATGCCCAGAAATTTAATTACTTGCTGAGACCAAATTCTTTCTCTATTTATTTTTATACACCAAGACTTAGTCGCGATTTTAGGATCGGAGCTAAAAACAATCAACTGGCACTTTTCTGGAGCCAACTCAAGTCCACTGTCATTTAAAAAAGGAATAATCTTATGTACCGACTCCGATACAGCTTTTAACACTTTTTTTGGATCTTTATCAACTGCATAAATACATACATCATCTGCAAATTGAAGAATTTTGCAATCCTCCACAATCCAAGACTCTAAAGACATCATGTAAACTGAGTACAAAACTGGGCTCAGTACGCTACCCTGAGGTAACCCTCTGAAGACTTTTCTATGACAGTCTATTGTGTCGTATTTGACTGATATTACCCTCTCCGACACTAAGTTATGCACAAATTTCAAAATTAATTTAGGCCATCCTACACTAATTAGTCTACTAAGTAACACATCTCCGAGCACATTATCATATGCGCTTCGAATGTCCAAAAAAAGAGCACCAACACACTGCTTCTTGTCAAAAGCTCTCAAAATCTCCGCGTTCAGTATAGCTAAATTATCCAAACATGATTTACTTCTTCGAAATCCAAACTGCGTTTCAGGGAACTTATTATGAAATTCCAACCACCATGATATTCTAAGATTCAGAATTTTTTCCAAGATTTTTAACAAGCAAGGTGCCAACGATATTGGCCGAACAGCGTTCCCTTGACTCTTAGGAATGAAGAAAATTGAATACTGGCGCCATTCGTTTGGGAAGATTCCCGAAGCAAAAATTGAGTTGTATAACTCCAAGAGGGCCCCTCTGACTTCTTTAGGAAACGATTGAATCAACAAATAATCGATCCCGTCCAACCCCGGGCTAGATTTAGTCCTCGAATTCTCAATTGCGACCTCTAATTCTTCCACCGTGATAGGCAAATCCAGAAATACATCCCCTTCCACATTTTCTAACATCGGATCCCCTCTTGCTACCCAGGATGGGCATAGAGAGTCTATCCCAACCTTCACCCTCTCCACTACCTCTTCACTAAACTCGTTCGAGCAATGCGACGAATTCCAACCTTTTTTCAAAGCTTTCAGCTTCTTCCATATGTACGACGGACTTGTAAACTTATTGATACTATTTAAGAAGGACCGGAAGTAGTCCTTTTTTATCTTTCTGATCCCCGACTTAGCCCTAGCCTCTGCCTGTTTATATTTTAAGAAATTTTCCTCCGAAGGATATTCTTTTAAACGAAGAAAGGCAGCAACTCGTAATCTTACCAACTTATCACATTCGCTATTCCAGAAAATTGCAGCTTTTCTACGCTCTTTCTCCTTATGAACTCTGCTCCCTGTATTTAGATTCCTACTACCACCCCTTCCCGGTGTAGCCACATTCACACAGTCCTCTATAATTGCTGTAAACGTCGTATATTTGACCTGAATCTCGAGATCCTCGTTTTGGACAACTGACCTAATTTCATTACTCCGAAATTCGAGTTCCCTGACCAACCGCCCCCAATCAGTTTTACTATTGTAAAGCCTTTTTGGAGCATGATTGCTTCCTTTTTTCTCAACTACCTTGTCAAAGTCAATAAATATTGGGAAGTGGTCACTGCCCCACGTATCCCTACTAACCTTCCACTCAAACAGCGACAACAACCCACAACTTGCGAACGATAGATCTAGAGCGGATTCTGTTCGATATTGACGCGAATAAAAGGTCTTGACTGCCCCATTCAGCAACCCAACCTCCGACTCCTCGATAGCTTCAAATAATTTTGTACCTTCTATAGAGTTCGCATCACTTCCCCATACCTGGTGATGAGCATTGAAATCCCCTGTGACCAGGAAGTTTCCACTGAATTGGTTCAAAAAGCGCACCCACTGGTCCTTCGTCATATTTCGATCCGGAGGCCTGTAACATGAGACTACTAGAAAAGGCCCTTCACACGTAAATAATTCTATAGCACACAGCTCAATGTTATTGTTACAATTATACAAACCATGTTTTCTCTTATATTTAATATTATTTCTCACCAGAATAGCAACTCCACCCCCAGGGCGCCCTACCCTGTCTCTACGCACCACATCAAATCCCTTGACCGAGATTGAGTCATCATCCGTTAACCAGGTCTCCGAGAGTAACATCACATCAAAATTGGAAGCTCTATATTGTAATTCAGGTAACTTTCTCTTAATGCTGCAGCAATTCCATTGACAAAATCTGAAAGTATTCGCTTTATTCGCCATTGTTTGATAAAAAATGCAACTCAATTGTTCTCATCACTCTAGAGATCAACCTGTCCACGTCTGGGATCTTGAATACTAACTCCTTAAGTCGCCTGAACAACCTGTCACTACAGTCTCCATCTTCTTTTTTCTTAAGTTCGTGTAAAAAACTGCAAATCTCGCTGTTCAGCTCTGTTGGAATTCCTTCACCTTGGAGATTACTTTGTCTTGAGTCTTGTTTACCATCAGCCTTTGGTCTTTCAATATTACCACTAACCGCCTGTCTATACGATCCATCTCTTCTAATGTTATGCACCAGGAACCTATTCTCATTTCCCAGGACTGGAAAGTTCAAAGAGTCCACCGAAGGCCTCAGGTTTTCTTGAGCATTAAAATGTCTTTTGAAATACAAATCCCTTGCTGTTGGGAATGACACATTCTTTTCTGCAATGATGCGACTGATCTCATAAAGTTCCCGAAGTTTCGGGCACTTACTGTCCAAGGAAAAATGTGAACCTTTACAGTTGATGCATTTAAGCATGCAGCCATTTTCTTCATCATGCTTGTTATTACCGCACCTGAGACACTTCTCCTCCTCCTTGCAAAACTTTATTGAGTGACCAACCTTGCCACACCTGTAACACTTCCTGACTGCTGGGATGAATGGACTTAAACCAATTCTCGTTTTCCAAAAGTAAACTGCGTTCGGTATTTCTTTAATGCGCATCGTTACCTGCACTGAAGTGGTGTCCTCCCATGTAACGTTACCCCTTTCTTTGACTCTTCTTTTCAAACGAACTGATTCTACAACATTTAAGCCTGGGTTGCCATTATTGAGTTCTGTGGTAATTAATTCTGGCTCAAAATCTATAGGAATGTCTTTAATCACACCTTTCCTGAAAACTTTCCAGAAGGGAACAAAAGCGTTGTAGCCCCATTCTTGCAAAAACTTATTCCTCAACATTTGGTTGGCAGCATCTCGAGAATGAAAAGTAACTTCCCAGACCCGCTTAGAAATGGGAGCAAGTTGGTCATATTTAATTCCTGCTCTAAACAATATTCGAGCCACTTCCAAAGCCAATATAGGTTTATCATTTACTTCTAAATTATTTCTTTGTTTACTAAGTTGTACAACAAAAGGGCTTTTATCAGACTTTTCGTACTGAAACGTTTTTTCTATTCTTGTTTTCGACTGTTCAAACTGCTTTTTGTTTGTCAATATATCCCTTCCCTTATTGTTGTTGAGGTTATATCCTCGAATGTTTACCTTCTCAGTACTCTTATTTTTTGTACGACTGGCCACTTCAATAGAACTTTGACTAGTTTCGCCACTATTACTCTTATCATTTATCACTTCTTGGCCGATCTCAATGTCACTCTCCATTTCTGGACCTTCCATATTTGCACTTAAACTTTGCTCGTCACCTTTATGAGACAAGGGACTTCTGCTCTTACTTCTCGTTCGATGTTTTTTAAATTCCTCCTCCTCCCTCTCATCACTCTTTCTTTTATTTTTATATTTTCTTGTCTCTTTAGCCATTCCTGACTCAACTAATAAACTTTCATAGCACAGATCTTGATACTCCGCATGTAACTCCTCATAGGTTATATCATTTTCAACTGCTTCTCCGCCATCACATGGCCTCCCCCCGTCACACCCACTGTCCTCCGACAGTTTTAGTCTTTACTCCGTTTCCACTGATTCAAAGTGAAGTCCACAAAACCAACAAAAAAATATATCAGTCACTCGAAAATTCACTTACAAGGCTTGGAAATTCAGAGAGCTCAATAAAACACGTGCTTCTCGTTTCAAGTCCAAACAGGAAGTCGGATGACTGAGGTCATCTGCGAGCATAATGCTGTCACCTATCGGAATTTTTTCAAACTAATTGCCGGAGAGAATCATCTGGAATACAATATTTCTGATTATTTCTAAATTATTCAATTTTATCCTATGAATTGATTTTTTTGACATTCAGATAGGTAGCAAGGACTGACGCAAACACGAATTTTGGGCGAAAAACGTATAAAAATAAAATAATTAGTGATTTTTCATCTGAATGATGTGGCCGCCATCTTGGAATTTAAGCGCGGCAAGCCAACTCATAATTTGTTCATTATTCTTTCTAATGTTTTAATAAAAATATTCACTACATACAAAAAATTGTTGTTTACGTCAGTCCGGCATTAATTCCTCTGTAATTTGATACCTAATTTTATAGAAATAATAGTAAATTGGCGGAGAAATTAGAAATATCCCGATCCCATGTATTTGGATAGGGGGAATCAGTCGCCTCTCTGACTTCAGCCCAGCCTTAAGTGCTGTTTTTTATTCATGGTAGAGCCATCTGTGTGCCAGAGTACTAATCATAATTCATGTCTCGTTTCTACTTTATCGGTATTCTGTCACAAGAATCAAAGATAATTTTTGACAATTCATCAAATAAAGAAATAAATTGTTTAAGAAAATGAAAAAGTAAAATATATTTCATTGAAAATTTAGAATTATAAAGAAATGATCACATCAAAAGAAATTCGGTGATTTTAATTGCAATTTATTTCTTCTATCACAGATTATCGTCTTTGTATTTGAACTTGGCGCATAATTTTGTACAGTCCATAAGGCTGTTTTTGGTATGTTCTCTTTATTTCAATCTAAAACACACATTCTCCACTTGCGGCCATTTGTCTTGTAAAAAATTCTAACCAAAAATAGGAAATGGTTGTCTACTAGTTAATGGTCTATTGTAATTCATAAAAAATAGTAACTAACTATTTTCTTTTGTTGTTAAAATCATATATACGTATGTGTTATGTAGTTTTACGTTTCTATTATTATAAAAAAACCTTTATATATTTATTTTGGATAATTTAAACGAAAATTATCATCTATAATTTTTTTTAGGTAACTACTTCATTTCAGTATTTATAATATCATTATCTATTCTTAATCTCATTTTTCATCCATAAACATGATTCAAAAAAAATTTTCCCATCATTTCTTATGTTGTGCATGACTTGGCTAATGTTAACCTTAAAATAACATTATAAAAAGTGTTGTGACAAAATTCGTAACAATAAAAATAGTGTGAGGAACAATATTGTTATTTAAAAATGATAGTTGACGTAATGATTGTTATTATCATCAACAATTCACACTATCTGATTCCTGATTTGTTTTAAATTATCGTGATTACTTGTTTTAATAGCCACGATGAATTTAGAGATTGATGTGTGACTTTAAAAAGAGAACAATTAATTTATAAATTTATTCGTTACACGTTTCATAGTTAATATAAATATTTGTTATTTAATAAGTAAAACATTTTCTGATATTTTTCAAGTATCCAATTAATTTATTTTTATAGCTATGTCATCAATGAATAGTGTTGAGTCTTTTGGAACTTTACAGTGGGATATGTTAGAGTTAGCAGCACATTTACGTCAAGAGCGTTTATTCGTTAACGCTGAGCAACAAAATCTGCAAACTCTTAATGAGAAAGTTAGTGACATAAATTTTATCATTTATTGAATAAAATTATATAGTAGTTACAGTTATTTCTTCCTTTCAGGTTTTATACATATCATCAGATTTAGCTCAGTTAACATGGGTGACTGATCAACAAAGGGTAAATTTAAATAGGTTGATTGTTTCAAGGCCAGATTCTACACCTGCATCTTGTTGTCAACGAGCAAATACTCTAGAAAATTCTCAGTTTGTTGATGCGTATAAACATTTAAAATATCAATCATGTTTAGCATATGGCGAATTTCTTGGAACGTTAAGGAAATCACCAAAACTTGTTGCTTCTTGTCTTGTAGAAGGTGATAAATTAGTTCCCGATTCCATTCAAAGTATAATACAGTCACTTTCTGCTGGATTATATGGAAGTTGTTTACTACCTGAGGATAAACTATTTGTGTTGAAATTATTGAGGCATTTGATGTTTCTACAAATAGTTCCCTCTGATAACCCTAGAAGATTATTAAGACATGGAACCTGTGCTTTTTCAAGATTTTACTCTGTTTTTCATGAAAGTCTTTTCTCAGCAAAGCTCTTTCTCACAGCAGCCCTTCACGAACCGATAATTCAGTTGTTAATGGAAGATGAAATGTTTCTTGATATTGATCCTGATAAAGCAGCTATCAGATTTCCACCTTCTGAAAGATTAAAGAAATTCGGAAAAGAAGGAACGCCTGAGTATCAATCTAAGTTATTACGGTATCGACTTTGGACTGTTAATTCTTTGGTGCGAATAACTCAAAGATTTATTGTAAGTATACGAGAAAATATGTATTGCTTTCCAACTAGCGTTAGTTGGCTTGTTAAACAAATGGCAGGATTGCTGAACAAAAATAGTAATATTGAACCCAAAGAAGTACACGCAATGTGTACTGATCTAGTATTTACTTACTTTATTTGTCCTGCAATTGTGAATCCTGAGCCTTATGGAATAACTGATGCACCGATAAGTTATGTAGCCAGATTTAATCTCATGCAAGTTGGACAAATATTGCAAATGTTATCATTAATGAAATATCAAACAATCGACAATAAAGTTATAGATTTATATAGACGGTTTGAGAAAGATTCTATTTCTTCGATAATTGATGCAATGCTAGAAGGTACTACTGAAGAATTAGATGATGAACCACCTGTTGTAGATAACACTAAACTTCAAGGACTTTGTCGATCTGCAGCACTTTTTACGGAAAATGAATTAAATAATTTAATTGTATTTTTACATACAGTAAATAATGAAAATAACAAAGAATCTTCTGCTTTTTCGCACAATAGTTTAGATCGAAAACAATTATGTGATATGCTTGCTCAATTACCCAGTGGAACAGTTAGTTCAAACAAAATTATTCATCAATCATCTCCTGAAACTCCTAGCAAACGAGGTGGTTTTCTAGGAAAAGTAAATCGAGGACGAGGATCAAGGATATCTGTACCTTCATCTCCCGGAATTGCAACTGATGGAACAGAGGATATGAATGGTGCATCAGGTACTGAAGAAGAGTATATTGATAAAGCGATTCAAGAAGTACTGGTCATTCCATTTGGACCGGCAATTACTGAATCCGTTGGTATGCTCAGTGAACAGAAAATTCTTTGTATGGACATTCAAAATAATGTAGAAGAAAGTGTTCCAGTTACTTTAACTCTTGATACTGATTTAACTACTAATAATGATCGCAGAGATACTAATGGACCAGATCGTATTGAAACTCAAGAAAAAAGAACTCGTTTTTCATTGTCTCATGATGAAGTTTTGTTCGAAGGTTCTATAGGCAACACTTCAGATAATTTAGAAGTTGTTTCAGAAGCTGCATCTAATCACAGTGTTGCTTCTTCATTGGAACTTGAAACCGAAGATCAAAATGATAATTTATCTGATATGGTATCTGCAAATGTATCAGGAAGAGGAACTCCAAATATATCTGGAAGAGATACACCATCATCTCAAATTACTGAAGGTGATGATGTACGAGCAGGAGGTGAAGCTAGACAATTGGATTTACCACCACCTACTATTCCAACAAAACAAAGTCGTTCAGAAATCGATGATAAATTTTGCAAGTTTGAGATAAAGAAACTTATTGAAGGTGATGAAACAGTTTCATTAGTGTCTGATACTTGGTCTACAGATGTTTTGGCATCAGATAGTGAAATAGTGGAACAACAAGAGCGATTTCCTTTTCCACCACCAACAGAAGCACCACCCGTTCTTCCTCAAGAACCTCCTCAGGGTATGTTAGATGTAAGTGAAACTGCTTCTGAAGCATGGAGTACTGATGTTCTTGCTAGTGATTCTGAAAGATTAACAGAAGTAGATACTGATGATACAGCAAGTGTCGCAAGATCTGATGATACTGCAAGATCAGAATTTGAAAGTCGTGGTGAACCAGATGGTGGTGATGAACCAACATATTCTCCAAGTTTACCGATAGGTACAGTAGTCGAAGGTGCTGGTACTCTTTTCAGGCCAATTAGAGTTGAGCCCGCCAATCGAGCACCAATACCACCATCACCAACAGTGTCGACACATTCAAATGTAACTGGACAGGGTGGTACAGCATCTGATTATCGAAGGAGTACTATGGAATACGTTGATAACAATGCTAATAACGTTAGCAATATGGAATACGGTAAATCTGTTGCCGAAGATAGATTAATTCATTTAATAGATAAATTACATATTGATAATGGAAAAAACAACAATGAATGTCAGAGCTTAAGCAGTCACATCGGAGCAGCAGCAGTCGCACCTACATTATTGCTAGCGAATCATATATCAGCACCATCATTGCCAGAAAAGTTACCAAACGGTGGTATTAAATTAGAAGAATTAGATGGATGTAGTGCTAGTAATAATGACGTTGTTGTAAGACTTAGTTCGGCTAGTTTGACATCAAGCAGTAGCTCTGGTTCAGAGTCACGATCAAAAAATGCATTGTCAACTCCTGAAATATTATTTCCACAACCCTTAACTAATGGTGGAAATGATGTTACGGATAACCGTAATAATATACCAAAACCAAGTATTTCAACTGGAGCTATTCCAAAAAGTATAAGCTTTGATATGACAGCAACTAGAGGAGACAAAGAACTTTTGGATGAGGATCAAAAAAATAAAAGAGGATTTTTTTCCAAATTTAAAATGTCTCTTCGAAATAGAAGGGGTAAATCACCGAGAGGAACTGACGAACAAAGATTTTATGACAGAGATGTTGGTCCAGATGGGGTAGATGTCGGAAGACAGAGATTACGGCGAATAATGTCAGAAGATGTTTCTTCAAGTTTAAATACCAATAATGATAGTAGCGAAGATATTCTAGCTAAATACCGTAGAAAACCGAGTGCAGCGAGCGATACAGCATCCGTAGAGAGCAGTCAATCAAGAACAAAAGAAGTTGAAGATGAAAGACTTTTAATTGATCCCAATAACGTTGAAATATCATTCGCATTCAGTGATGCAAAGAGAAAGTTACGAATGGTACTTAGTACTGCAGATTTACAGCATATTTCATGGAATGTTTCTTCAGACAGAAATACTTTAGTACAAAAAGAAAATGAACTAGTAGCTTTTTTACAATTGCAGTTAGCTGAAGCTATTAATCTTCAGGATCGTCCTTTAATTGCTCATCTTCATGAAACTTTACGTTGTGTAAGACTATTTAATGATGATGGATGTCGAAAACTCTTCAAATCACTTAGAGAAGATTATCAGAAGAGATCGCCTTATATTGCTTATTTAATTAGATGTCGACAAGGTTTGTTGTCTACTTTAGCTCATCTTGAACGATTGAATGAAAGAATAAAATGTGATAGAGATGCTGTTAACAGTCATCTAGTTGCTGTTTGTGTCAGAGTATTTTTAGAAAAAAGAGAGTCTCAAGTTTTACGATTTTGTGATGAATTTCAAAAACTCAAAGTAGCTGATGAAAAGCAGGATTTGCTTGATAATTTCTTGGGAAAAATCCACACTGAAATGGATAATGATCCCATATGGCAAGTTGCTAGTGAAAGTCAAATTGAATTAGCGAAAATGGTAGTTGAGCGAACAATAATGGCCCGTGTATATCACAATGCATTATATCCTAATGGAGATGGTGACATTTACAGAGACCAATTGTTGCATGATCACATTAAAAAATTGTCTAAAGTCGTAACACCAAATCACAAGGATTTAAGAATCCCAAAGATTTATCATTATGAATGCCCATGGCCGTGGGCTCAAGCTGAATTAGCAGTAATATCTGCATACAAGACCCCAAAAGATAAATTACAATGTGTTTTTAGATGTGCAAAAACTATAATTCATTTATTGTCAATGGCATCTGAAAGAGGTATTCCAGCAGCAGATGATTTAATTCCTGTTTTAGTATACATTATCATTAAGGTAGATAACAATTTACGATATTTAAAAATAATACTAATGTATTTATTTACATACTTCTTATTAATTATATGATTCTAGACCAACCCGCCTTCATTATTGTCAACAGTGCAATATGTTGATAGCTTCTATGGTAATCGATTAGAAGGTGAAGAACAATATTGGTGGACCCAATTTTGCTCAGCTATTGAATTTATCAAAACAATGGATTGAAAATAATATAAAATTGTGAGTGGTTACGTAATATTTGCTAATCATAACACACACGATATGTGATGAGGTAACATGTTATTCTTAAAGAACAATAATAGTAATTTTATTTGCTTTTAGATAATTATGTATAAAACTTAAAACTATTGAACAATGGCATTCCTATGACTCATATAAATTAATGCAAAAAATAATTCGGATACATAAAATGATATTTTGTTGATTTAATTTTGTTGATTCAATGTCGGTGCACTATTTAATCAGAGCCATTATTGATCATATGGCTACTTGAATGTATCCAAAATTCTAATAATTATCAAACAACACAACTTTTGAATATTTATACAAAAAGCCAATAGCAATATATGATTATTATTTTTTATAATTATCTTTTTAAATGTATTTAATATTTTAAAAAATTATAGATAATAGAGAATAATTTTTTATTCTTAGTTATTGATCGTACAAATTTTTGAATTTCGTATTTTTTTTTAATGAATCCATGAAAAGTTATATATTGATTAAATATTATTTTTATTAATTTAATTTTTATTTAAATTACAAATCTAATTGATCTTGCTCGCTTTTAGTCACAAAATAGCTGCAACAAGTATTCAAATATTACATATTTATACTAACTGAATGTTTATGTTTTACGTAAAGATTTTGTTATATATTTAATTATTTTGTCAGAAATAGAAACGTACCAAGTATAGATATATTACTTTATTTAAAAACAAAAATAATTGTGGAACTTTTTTTGAAAACTCCTATGTTTGAAAAATAACGATTAAACATTTTGAGTTATCATTGAATTACAAATATTATGTATAATACATATTGGATATACTTTTTGTCGAATTATTGACCTCCTAAAAATGATATTTATATAATTGATCAGCATATATTTATAAATTTTTTGGCTCATTTGGCTGTGTTTTTCTAACTGTGAATTTATTATCTTGTCATCAATTACGATCAACGAAATTTATGCAACTACAAAAATGAATTTTTCTTGATTAATAATTAAATATTAAAAATATAAATATATATATAAACATAAAAAAAAAATTCTTCGAAATCTGTTCTAAGTATCTTCATTTTTAAGTTATACCTGCAACTGAATTTTATCAATGAATATAACATTTCAAAAGACTATGAAAGGGTCTAAACAATACATTAATAAATTATATTCCATTGAACATTTATTTGTTCATTGATTATTATAATATATTCGGATTGTTATAATTATGTAACCATATAGTAATTATTTACTTATTTTAACGCATATTTATATAAATTTTTAGGGCGTGTGGGTTATTGTAGATTTAATCATAAATATTTAAAAATAAAAAAAATAGTATACTAACTTGATTCCAAATAATCATGTTCTGCTATATATATATACATATATATATAGATAGAAAAGATAGAATATATACGTATATTTTAAAAAAAGATATAAAAAATACATAAATTAGAATGAAAAGGTAGCTTTTTTCAGTTATTTATTTCTGAAACATCGAAATATATTTCATATACTGTAAGATTATTGAGATAGAAATATTTGAAAAAATACTAAATAAAATTAATTTAATAATATTAAATCTATAAAAGTGTAATGCAAATATTTATCAAGCAATACAATTTGTAAAATGCATAAATAACACAATGTATGATTACATATAGTATTTTTGTTAGTCAATATTTCTGGATATTCTAAGATGTAAAAAATAGAAAGTCTTTCAATAAATAATGTGTTTTAATTTCATTTTTAAAGTTAAAGTATACAAATCCTTATTATATTAAAAGCTCCGTTGATAACAAATATTATTCTTAAAATCGACAATCAAGGTTTTTAAAAATACACTATAATATTTTTTATCATTCTTTATCGAATGACAGTTAAAATGAAAGTCGAATATGAAATAGTAGTAATTAAAATTTATGTATTGTTATTTATTTATCTATTTATTTATTTGTTTGCATTAACCTATCGTTACGTAAACGCAATTTCGATTTTTTTAGTATTGAAAGTAAGAAAATAAATATGACATATAAACCGAATAATTAATATTTTTTTTAACTAAAATTTTCTCTTCTTGAATGTATATAGAATTATTATAAACAATAAAATCAATAAATGTTTTTACTTGATAATATATGGCGATCAGCAGTATAGTTTAAACACTGTAAATTCAAGTGTTTATTATGTTCTGAAGTGTTTTCCTTTCAGAATAGTATAAATGCAGAAGTAGTATCAATTACATTTATATTTTATTCAATAAATCATATTTCACAACTTTATACGTACACGTATTTCACTACAAAAGGATAATTGGACGATCAACTATAACACCATGATAAATTTCAAACTACAAACATAGTAATTATAATATGAAGCAAAATAAAATGCAGATGTTGTCAAATATAGAGCAACTGTATTTATGGAATTTCCTTTATTGATAGTTCTATAAAATTGGCAATAATTTTGGCTAATACAGCGTTTTTTTCTTCGATAATATCAAGTTAGTGCAACAAGTTTTCAAATCATTGAAGGGGACTAATATATTTATAATAATTGTTTGTTTAATAAAGTTTAATCGTGGAACACTTTGAAAATTTTTTTTATCATTTCAACTCTTCTCATTTGATCATTTATGTTGTTAAAATATTCTCAAGTAAGTTTCTACCATGGTAGAAATATAATTGAACTGTTGAATAAATATTAATTATAGAAATGAATGAAATCATTCATTCTTTTATTTAGAGTGGTCGAATTCCCGATTTCATTTTTTCAAACTAAATAATTGATTTTAGTTGGAATAAAATCAAAGATATTGACGACAAATAATCGTAAATCTAGGACTTGGTCAATTTCTTTGGTAGTAAAATTTAAATTAATAATATCTCTACAGAAATAAAATTAGCGGTTGAATGGTTAGTTATTAAATACTCTTTCTTAAAGTACAGCTGAAAGGGTAATTAATAAGGTTTGCCTTTCTAGTATAATACCGGGTGTTATTTGTTTGCTAAGTACCGATTCTCCATGCTTGTGGATTATTTGAGTTCTGAAATAATTTTCCATTACCATCAGCGTATTGGTAATTTTGTCAGGATTTAAATATTTGCGCTAATGAATGGTAGGGAATGAAATTCCGGGAATATCCGAAGTCGTATAGATACCAGTGTGGTACGTATATTTTTTAGGTATAGTATGCATTGACAGCGGTACAGAATGTTAATTCTTTAAATGACCGCAATTAAGTGTTGTGTTAGCAAAATAAATAAATAAATTTCGCACTAAATTCATGTCATTTATTTGTAAATCTCTATGAATATACGTGATTTTATTTATTAAAAATGCCTTCTTTAGATTTACCTGAAATCCCAGCATCTTATAAAAGTATTCAACACTACTTAAAAATTGCTCAGGAGCATGATTCGCGAGATCCAGTGGTCAGCTATTGGGGTATTTAATAGTTTTGTCTATCATCAAATCGATGCTTCAAATAATTAATTATAATAATATTATTATAAATGATTTTTCAACGAAATTATTGATTTTTAGCACGATTATATGCTGCTCAAACTGCACTTGGCTTAAGCAGAAAAAAAACACCAGAGGAGACTGCTTTTCTCATAAGCTTAATGAATTGGCTAGAAGAAACCAAGAAAGAATTACGTGACAACGAAGCTATAACAAATGAAGTGGCAGCTCAAGCTCACCTGGAGAACTGGGCATTAAAATTATTTTTATATGCAGACAAAAATGATCGAGCCTCCAATTTTTCTAAAAATGTAATCCAAAGTTTTTATACTGCTGGAATGTTGTACGATGTTATTACAATATTTGGAGAACTGACTGAGGAAGCGGCACAGAATAGAAAATATGCAAAATGGAAAGCTTCCTACATTCATAATTGTCTTAAAAACGGCGAAACACCAGTTCCAGGACCACTTGATCAAAATAATGATAATCCTGCAGAACCTGGTATTACTCAGATTTTGAATTAATTTAAATGATTTTAGTTTTTTTTTATTAATCAGTCATCTCATTTTTCTTTTGATTTTTCGATTATTTATCATCTCTATATTTATAATAATACTTCTTGGAGATAACTAGTAATCATGCTTACGAAAATGATTTCACATTATTACGAATGTCATACTATGAAAATTTACTTTTATCATTATGAAAACATATAGTCATCTTTGATCGTTTTTTTGTATTATTGAAAACTATCTATTTTTTTTAATATTATTAGAAAATAAAGATGATTTCGAAGATTTGAATCAAAACGAATCGAATGTTGAACCTAAGGTTGAAAATGAAACAGTAGAACCTTCATCGGATCAAGAAAACGAAGGTAAATTGTTAAAATTATTGATGAGTGAAGAATATTTTACAAACTTCTTTTTCAATGATTATTCAATATTTATTAGCAATCGAAGGAGATACAAATGAAGGTATTGTGTATACATAAATTCATAAATTTTTTTCTGCCACTAGCACATTTTTAAAGCCAGTAACTAACAATTAGATTAACGTTATCTGAATAATTATAATATAATGTATTTAATAAGCAAAAATGAGATGGCAGGTTAAAAATTGATAAATCAATTTTTTATTTGTCTATTCTATAAATTGGTCAATTAAAGCTTGTTGCAAATGACATTAGTTATATTATTACATTTAGTCATTGTGTGTTATTTTTGATTATTATAGAAGCAAATGTCAGGCCACCAGCTGATAACTCTGAATTTTCTTCAGTTCCGCATTTCACAAATTCAGCAGATGTTCCTTCAACTCCACAAACTCCAAGTGTACCTTCTTCTGAGAGCAATATCTTTAATCCTACACTCACTCCAACCACCCCACCTATAATGCCGGATTACTCGTCAGTACCGCAAACAGGTAAGTGATCTGATCATTTTCCCGTAATCATAATGTTTAAACTAACATCAAAGTCTTTATAAATCAATCCAAAAAATTAGAACTTGAAAAAAACCTTGAATTGTATATTTTATAATTTTTTTGTAACTTCTTAAAAATTTATATTTTTAATACTAAATCGTTATATGCATATTGCCATAATTTTTCATTGCTTAAATTTTCATAGAAGATCATTATTTCAAAAACTTAGTGATCTCTGAAAATATTTTTTCATTAAATCTCCTCAAATGAAAATGATAAACATTTTTCTACTTTACATTATTCAGTTTAAAATAATGATTGTAATTTTTTATAAGTTTTTCAATTATATATGATAAAATATGGTTAATTTTGTAGGTGCAACAACAACAGGAAATGTCAATTTAAGTTCTGAGCAAATGCTTAAAGCTCAAAAATATATCAAATGGGCTGGCAGTGCGATCAATTACGAGGATATAACGACAGCTGTTGAAAATCTTCAAAAAGCCTTACATCTTTTAACCACTGGTCAAGACACTTAAGTATTATTGCTTAAAACGTATTTCATAAATAAATATAAGTATTTAAAATTATTTTTTCAAATAATAAATATATAGTCTGCCTATACTAATGTGGTTTATGATTTTATTTTATTATTATCAGCTAACACTACTAGTTAGACTTGTCAAAAGTAATAATGAAAATAATCTATAAAAATCAAAGTATAGCATATTTTTATAGCTTCAATGTAGTTTAATGTAAAAATTAAACACAATTGATGAACACTATTGCTTGTAAATAAAAATTGCCAATTATACATTCTATATAATTTTCAATAAACTATATTAAGCAAAGATAATTAATAAAAGAGTGAGATTATTTAGATTTTAAATAAAATAAGTTACAAATTAATTTTAAGTTTGTGTAAATTGCAAAAGCTTATTAATTGAATTTTATTTTTCATTTCTTTAACCAAATACAACGTAAAAGAAAGTATTTATTTTCGTTCGTCCATGATATTACAAATAACTCAAAATACATATACATGAATAAATAAATAAATAGTATTAAATAAATAAGAAGGATGAATTATGGTATACTGGAATAAGTTGATTTTGCAGTTTAAAATAAATACAATATTTCATATGCAGCTTGAAGCAATTATTCAAAAGAAATTCTAACCGTTACTTAATGATAGTTCTTAAATAGTCGAATTGGCTCATGAACAATTCTATGAAAATTTATCGTAAAATCAGACTATTTGGAAATTAAGCAATGTTTTTGAACATTTAAATATTTTTGGTTGATTATTTTATATCTAATCTCAGGCACACTAATTAACTTCACATATTCCAAACAGCTCTACTTTATAATACTTTTCCCAATTATCTACCAATTCTTCGTTTATAAATGTTAAATGTATAGCTATTTATTACATTGAATTTATGAATTATATGTATATGGAACACGTTTTTGTATTGTTTAGTTATTCTTAATATAAACCTACTCGAAACTTATTTCGTATTTATTTGTAAATTGATACTTTTATGATGAGTATGTGCATAATTATATTCTGATCATATGTGTATATACACCTTCAAGAAATACATTCATTCAAACGGCAGTAGATATATCATATTATAAGTCGATCGAATATAATTACTGTAAAATCAACTTGAGTTCATTTAAATCTTTAATAATGATTATTTATTCAATTAATGAATCTTTCAGTCTTGCTTTTTAGCTCTGTCATCAACTCCATTTACTGTAGCTGCTTGGTTCATTTGCCGACTTAGCTGGAAATCTATCACCAGTCTACCCATAAGCATAAACAAAAATACCTAAGAAAAAATATTACAAATATTTATGAATTATTTATTATTAGAGTTTGTGAAAAACCAAAAAAAATGACAAAACATGGTAAGGTGAAATAAAGATAAATGTACATTCTATTAACATAGTCTGCAACATTAACTCTAATTACTAACTGTCATAGTGTTGATCTAAAATTAAATTTTATTAATTGAAAATTTAAACATACCAATGCTGGTGCTGTTCTTTCTAATTTATCATTAAGTCGGTAATGTGAATAAACTGCCAATAGCATCAAGCTTAGTAAAATAACATTAGCTACATTCTTGATTTTTCCTGTAAAAATAACCACATTAAATACAGAAGGTTAATGGGCCAATGTTATGTAGATTTCATAATTTTTGGCAAACTTACGATTAGGGATAATGGCCATTGCTAGGCCAGAAATAATTTCTAGAGATCCAACAACACGTCGATACCACTTGCTTGGTACTTTAAAGTTTAAAAGCTCCGCTAGTGGAAATACTTTGGCGTATTTGACATACTCTTTTCTCTAAAATAAAATAAAAATAACACAAAGTTATTATCAATGTTTTAACATTATTTTACAAAATTACAAGTGCAATAAATTGGCGATAATCCAAACAGTTTAGCTGTCACAATAACTGTGGCAATGAAACACCGAAATAGAATTTGAAAATCTTTGGCGACAAAATCTCTTCGATATTCAATAAATGTATTAAAGTATTTTGATTAATAAATTATTTTTTATAAACATTCTTGTAAATTAAACGTATTCAATATAATATGTAATGAGCCCTATCAGTCATCATTTTCTTTGATTAGTTTAAGGCTCACTGAAAATTATTGGCAAAAATACTTACAAGATCTTTATGAAGGTCTTTATTTAAGTAAGATGTAACCTTAATTGTTCCTACAAATATGAAAAAGATTCCAAGAAGAATAGACAACGATCGGAGAACGATGGAAGCCATTAGACTCAAAAATTTATTTATGTTTACAAACAAAAGTTAACACAATTAAATCAAAAATTTGTCGAGCTACTTTTATGTAAGAGAAGCTTTTTTATTTATAATAGCTTATTTATCACTTATTCACGTACACTTTGATACAAAAAGATACATTTTTAAATATTTTTCAATCGGCGTATTTATTTGTATTTTAGAGTAATTAACAAATATAGCCGAACAGTAATTTATTTACTTGTGCTCGTGCTATTGATAACAACCGTCCATATTTAAGTGTAAGCAGCAGCACAAACCACAGAGATGCTCGCTCAATCGTTAGTGACGTCAACTGACACGACTCCCAGCTTCCCAATGTTTTTAAATATCGATACTAGGGGTAGGACGATATATCTTTTGTGTTATTTCACATCATTCTACACATAACATTACTGAAATAAATTCACTAACAGTGAGGGTAATAAATTTTACGCAGCTGTATAAAATCTAATAAAATTTCAAAAAAAAACTTCCCTTAAATTTTTAATAGAATCAACAATCGGAATTGGAGTAGATATTTTTCTGAAACAAAAAAAATCTAACATTCATAAATATTTACAAGTATAAAAATAATAATTTAAAAAACAATTAGAAATAATGATGATAAATAACCAAACAACTTGAGATGAATTATTTTCAAAATAAGTCATATATTTTTAAAAATAATCATTACAGTAATCTAAAGACCATTATTCTGAAAAACTTAATGAACTTCCTATTTTTTCATCAGATGTATATAAATAATCCGGGCATTTTTATACAACAAAACCTGAAAAGGAGGGGGGGGGGAGATTAAGCGGAACGATCGTTACGGGAATTGTTCCCCATATGTTACATGATAGAAAATTCCCAAAATTAATCAATATAGTCTAACAAACTGTTCCTTTTTACACAAAATCGATTATATTTATTTATATATTATTTCATTTAAAACATAGCTTACAGTTAAAAATGTACAAAGTTGTTTCAATGACTTTGTTTTTTAATATAATTATAAAAGCATACCTTTGAAAAATAAATACACAATTGTACGATTTTTTCATAAGTTCTTATCGATTTGAGCTTTGAATCAATCAACTAGATTTTTAATGCTCAATCTAGACATAATCGTTTGTTTTTTTTAATATTTTATTTTTTTATTCGAAATGTATCACCATGTAGAATATGGATACTTTTTTACAACATTCGAATAACTTTTATTTATATGGATACTATTCTTTGATGGCTTCCAACTTTGCTTGTGAAATTTGGTTACTATCAACATTTTGAATAGTTGAAACGACTGTTACAGGAGATGAAAAATCTGATAATCTCATAGGTCTACGTCTTGTAGTAAGTATCATAACGCCTTTACTTTTACTTGAATTTTGATTTTCATCTACTTTTTCTTTTTTCTTACGAGGAGCTGCAACTTTTTTCGCTTCAGATCCAGTAGAAGCACTTGCTTTTTTTACAGTCATTTTATTCTTACTAGCAGTTCGTTTAGTAGGATTCTTTGGAATAGGCGATACAAAACACTCGTTATTTTTTACTTTCTCATCTACTGGATCTGCAGTTGGTTCTGGTTCACAAACAATTTTAAGAACACTTGAAGTAGATGATGAAGATGATTCTTCTGACTTTTCTAATGATGTATTGATTTTTATGCATTTGTCAGGTTCAACTTTTAGAGGCTCTTCTTTCTCACATTTTTTAGATTTCGTATCTTCTACTGGTTCAGAATAAACTACTTCTTTATTTTTCTTATCTTTATTTTGTAAATTTTCTTCATTACTTTTACTAACATTATTAGTAGAAGTTTCATTGGATGTGCTATTATGCAGTTCAGGTTTCTTTTTTAAATATTTTGATAATATTTTACAGTACTCTGGATCTCGGGTAGCTGTTAAATTATCGATTTTTACTATTTTCGGTTTCTGTTCGATTTTCAATTCTTTACTTATAGTTGAGTTAGTTGTAGCCTCAGGTTGTTTATCCGAGTTATTTTTATCTTCATTATTTTGAATAATTTCAGCTTTGTTTGAGTCGCATTTGTTCTCTTTGAATTCTACATTGTTCCCTATGGGTTTTAAATTAATATTACTTGGTAATTCTAACTTGAAATACTGTGGTTGTTCTTTTTTTTCAATAACGATTTCTTGACATGTTTTATCTTCTTTTTGATCAACTTTCTTATTTTTTACATCTGTATTAACTAAATGTTGATCTAAAGTAACTTTTTGAATACTTTCTGTTCTTTCTTCTTTTGATCTGTCACGTTTATTGTGATGGATATCTTTATTATTATTAATTTTTAACATACTATCTATTGGCCTATCTGTATTCCTTTTAAGGTTTTTATCATCTGCTTTGACATCCACTTTTTTAACATCAAATTTTTGAATAAAGTCCTGAATATTTTCTATTATCTCTTCTCTCGGTGATTGAAAAACTGGATTCAAAATGTTATCTTGAACAGTCTCGTCGTTTCCTTCAAAAATATTATTTATAATATTCATTTCTTCAACGGTTATTAGATTGTCTAAAATTTCTCCTTCTTCGAAACTATTATTTAATTCTAGCTGATCTTCTTTTCCGTTATCTGTCCATCCACTGTTATTTTTTCTTGAAGACGTTGAATCTGTTGAATTTTTCTCACGTGATCTTCCACGCGACTTCGACCTTCTTCGTATTCGATTTTTTATTTCATATTGTCTGCTTTTATAATTATCTCTATTACGATAATTAATATCTTCTTTATACTCAGTATAATGACTATGAGATCTTGCTTCTATTCTACGACTTCTCCTAACTTCTCCGTAAATTTTTTCATCCGAATATCTTAGTGCATTTACATCATTTTTGTAAGTTACTTCATTATTTTTCCATTGTTTAACATGATTCCTAGAATCTAAACGATTTCTTGATCGATTTCTGCTAAAGTCATCTTCTCTATTATAATAGTTATTTCTGCCTCTGCCATCATGATATTTACCTCTACCTCTACTTTTGCCTCTATCAATACATGAATAATTTTGTTCTGAATCTAGATCAATTCTGCTTCTACTTTTTGATCGATTATCTCTATACTCATCATCCCTGTACTTTTTACAATAGCGGTCATCTCGTTGTTCATTCACATATCTCGAAAAATGTCTTTTGTCATATTCAGGTGATTTAGATGATTTTTTTCGATGTTCATTGACCGTTTCTAAAGGATTATCGCCATTGTTTATTGAACAAAAATATTTACTCGTGTGTGTATTTGTATTAATAAATTTGTCTGTACAACTTCCTGAAATTTCTATATGATCTATTTTTTTACTCTTACAGCTTTCACTTGCTTCATTGAGTTCAAAATATTTTTTTCGTTTATCTAGAACTTCATTAACTTCGTCTTCGCTCGGTCTTTTTAAATTCTTTTTCGGTGATATGTCTAAAGAAATTAGTCGATACTGATTTTCTTTATTATCTATACTGTTAATATTAGAAGTTTCAACTTCAGTTTTAGTATCTACAATTTCATTATTTTTAGAAACAGAAGTGAGTGATTTTGTTTGTTCTAATTGAAACCTTTCTTTTTCTTCCTGATCTTTTAACCTTCTCTTCAATCTTTCACCAAATACTGTTGATGTGAGCAGATTAGGTTTGCAAGTTACTTCCGTACCTTCATCATCACTTAATGACTCAAATCGACTAATTAATTGAGGTCCAGGACTAAAATACAAAGGTAATGATTTGTCTGAATTGTTATCTTTTTCGTATTTTTCTTCAACTTGACCTTTTGAAATAGGTTCTGGATCTTTTTTAGTTTCTGAGCTGCTTTGGATATTTTCCGTACTATTATCTTTTTGTGCGCAAACTTTATTTCGTCGAAAATAAATATTGTCTATCCTATGAACAAATAAATGAATATTTAAAATGTTTCGCTAAATAAATAAAGCTAGTTATATTCTAAACTTACTGAGCTCTTAGATCAGATATCAAACGATCTTTGCGTGAAAGTTCATTTTTAGCAGTCTTTAACAAGGATGAAAAATTAGTTTCTAAAATTTTTCTTTGGTTGGCTTCTTTTGTCAACTCGGTTTCCAGATTTTTTATTCTTTCTTCTAATTTCTTCACCTTGTCTAATAATTCATCATTGTTCTTATTTGTTTGAGAATTCTAAAAAATACACATAAAATTCAATAAAAATCCTCATAAGTGTAATTAAAATAATATTTTTTCGGTAAACTTTTTTTTGTCTTAAATAAAAACAATTTAATAAAAAAAACTTGCAAATTTGAGTGAGATTTTAATAATATTACCCAACTAAAAAACAACTTTTTTACACATATATGATATCATTTTTAAGTTAGCAAATAGTTTTCCAAAAGTTTATTAAAAAGTTATCATAGATTAATTTTTAGATAAATAAAATGATGTTTAAAATTTGTCAGCAAAAAAATCCAGGAAATGTCTGAAAAAATGTTTAGAAAGTGTTTCGGCTTTCTTTTAAATATCATTGAAAAAACGCTTTACACAGAAATAGACATCTTTTTGGATATGTGTATGACAATTTTAAGAGTATCAAATAAAAATTGGATATTTTTTTATCTGAATCCAAAATATTTATTTTTGAAAGCTCTTTTCTAATTGGGTTGTTTTTTATGGAAAGTATTTTACGTAAAAGTATATAAAATAGATTGTCTAGATTATAGAATGGGTAAAAATTTCCCGCCAAATTAAACATAACCTGAACTTACATCTTCACGTTTTTTTTTTCCAAAATCTAAGTCTTCATAAATATCAAAGTCGTCTTCCATTGTAATTAATAAATATTCTCGATACTTTTCTGTAAATAATAACACCATCAAATATGCATCTAATTAAAACAATTTATAATTATCTTAACATTCGTTACTTGTCATTACTCCATTCTGAGCTACATACCAAATCATCTAATTACTTAAACAACAAGTTTTATGAAAAAATTTTACTTACATATTAGTAAAAAATAACAAATTAAACAATATAAACCACTTAAAAAATAAACCAGTACATCTGTAAATCAATTATATTGTTGATAATTATACACATTATCTTTACATTCTTGGTTTTATTAGCTCCATATTTCTGATGACGCAAATACAGTAGGTATTTAAAGTGCTGTATTTTACACTGAAGTTTCAATCTACATTTTTTTTTATTACAAATAAATAGGCTGTACTACACTATAGTCGTGTTCTTTGCTATCGTACGTTTGATACAGGTGTATGACTGTTTCTCCCCTCTACTACGTGGTGGCAGCAGTGGGGATGCGCAGAGGTTGAGCGCGCAGGTAGAACGGAAAAGAAAACTTTCAGTCTGACGCCGTGAGTCAGTGTGGAACAATAGTTCGTAAATAATTGTGAGTGTAGTGTATTTGCGTACACACTGGAGAACGTGGATAAAGACAAATTTTTTTTTATATTTTTCCAAGAATTATTTATTAGGAGTTATAAGTGATTGTTGGTGTTTATTATTATATGCAAATTTGATCGAATATCAATTGTTTTTCAATTATTTTATCGGAGTATTATTCCATTTTTTATAATTTGACATTTTATTTATCAAGTTAAGTGACAATAAAGTTATAAGTTTAGTTTAACATTAAATACCGATTAATATCCCAATGTTATTCAATACGTATTCGATCAGTTCTTTCGATTTATTGTACGAAATATTGAGTGAAAAAAGTGTAACGATATGCAGAAAAAATTTGACCGGCGGTTTATAGCCATGGAGCGTTGATTTTCAAGGAGAAATCTTTTTATCCTCTTTCTTCCTACCTCTTCTGTGCTCTGTCTTTGACAACTCTTCTCATCTGGATAATAAAGGTATGTTTCTACATTGTGTGTTATTGCTAATGCTCTGTTACCCATATATACAATCTGTAACCTGTTGATACTCACCATTTTTTGTAAATTTGAACAATCTCTTTCTCTCAAAACATTTCACAGTATTAGATAAATCTGATTTATCAAATTTGGTTGAAAATAAGTTTGTGATTTTTTGTTGGCCAATAAAAATAAAAACAACATAGAAATTCAAGTGAAAATAATGCAAGAGTTCACTTGAAAAAAAAAAAATAGCGAGCTTATCAATATGATTGTTGAACATTTTTTTATAATATAAAATGATGATAAACTTGAATGTAAAGATACGAATTATACTGTTTCACCTTGCAAATTTTTTTTTACAAAGTAAACGGCTGAAAACAGGGTTGCCAAATCTTTTAAACGTGCAGTAAGTACAATACCTATGAGTTACAGCATATATTTCACATGTTATGACCGTCAATCTGACTCACACTAGTGAATATTCTCATTTATCAAATTTTTATATTTTCTAAACAAAGATCAATTGTGTACTAAGGACGTGAATGAATGTATATAAATTTCTCTCGTGTAACTTTTTATTTATTACTATTTAAAGTGGCAAATTAGTTATAATAGGTGAACAAATGAGCATTTTATAATGATTTTTATAGAGCATGAAGCCAAAGAACTCTAATAATTATATAATAACTACATTATAGTTTTCATCAGATATTATTAATTTTCACAACTTTTTCAAGATCTTCATGACTCACTGTTTAGTTATTTTAAGTGGAACATTATACCATATAAAATATCAAATCTTTCATTACATTATTATCTCAAACAGTTCTTTTATTAAGCAAGAAGTTTGTTCAGCAAACAATAGACATATATCTGTTTGATAAGTGAGTAAATATGCTCGTAAAGCGAACAAGAATCAACGCTAGTATGCCGCCCATCATTGATAAGGATTAAATTCACGCTTTCATTAGACTTTGATACGTAATTCGTACGAACAGATTTGCAGAGTCAGTACTAGATCATAAATATTTCCGCTTTTTGTTGAGACATTTGTTCATAGATAACAGCTAAAACATCACGTATTATCTTATCTTTCGGATATCTAGAATTATTCAATAAGAAATGCGTATTTTTTTCATTCATACTTTTATTATTTCTATTTATAACAATGTTTCATCTCAACTTGTAAACTTTACTGCCTTGAAATTTATTAGCATTCTCGATATGTCAATTATTCTTCTGATTATTAATTCTAAATTTGTTTGAGGCTATATATTATTGCGTATTTATAAGGTGAATGTTTATTGAGAAGAATAATTATTCTATGTTGTCGTTATTGCATCAGTCATTGTCTAAAAAATTATTATCATTATTTTTTTATCATTATTAACTACATTTCAACTTCCAGGTAATAAATAATATTTTCGATTTTTATTTACTCGAAAAATTATTCCAACAAAAATAGAATAAAACATTGACAGTAATTGTTTAAATTGCAATTTACAATAATTGAAAAAAAATTATTTTTTTATTAATGCTACGAAAAGAACATTTTAATTTTTCATACAGACTGATTATTATTGCAACATTTCTTTGTTATTTGATACATAAAAGAAAATATCTAGTAAAATTGTTATCAGTTTATATATTTGGGTAGTTTCTGTGCTCTAATAAATATGGTACTTTCAGTAAGGAAAATCGTATCAAGACTTGGTCTCTCTAAGTATATTATCAATTTATAAACACACTAAAGCGAGCAGTTACTTTTTTTGGCGCCTTATTTTGGGACATTCCAGTCACGAAATAGTGTGAAGGTCACTATTGCTTTAAGGACTCAATATGTTGTTATTTAAATAGCAATTATTATTATAAAGTCTTAATTGAACAAGTATTAATCCTTTATTTGGTTACATAATTTTAAATGTATTGGTTCTTCGTTGAGATATATATATATACATATATATATTTTGCTTATATTACACACGTGTATTTTACATAATGTAGATTTCTTGTCAAACCCTCATTTATTTCTGTCTACTTAACTCTTATTCTCCATCATGTGTGTATATAACCCTTTTGTGTATTTTTTTCTTAAAATTCTGAATAGTTTGTCGCTTAAAATACCCCCTGTTGTCACTGCATTCTGCATTGCATTTTACAGTGACTACATAAAGGATTAAATTTATTTACATCAATGAATTACCTCTATATTTACATGAATTTACATTTAATTGGACAAGTAATTGATTATTTAGAATCTCAAAATTTTGTTAATACTTTTTACATCCAAATAACACTTTATTTTTTAATTCACTTCTCCGATAAAGTGTGCCCTAAAAATACGCAGTTTTTATTTTAATTAACCTATTACGGATATTTTAATTTTACTACTAATACACTATTATTTTTGATCAACATATTAATTAGATAAATTCAAAATATTTCTAATGAGATTTTTCTGTTGATTTCCAAATAACCTTGAAGCTACAAAACAAAATAATAAACAGATTCTAATTCAGTACATTGCTTCTATAGATAACTACAATGATTACCATTTATCAAAACTATTCGAATAACTGAAAATTATTTTACGTTTCTATAAATTCTTATTATTGCTAAGTTTACAATTTTAATTGCTAATATATTAGTTTTTTTATTCATTTTATATTCAAATGCGTATGAACACCAATCTTTTCATTTGTTCAAAACATCTACTTTGCCATAACACATAATCCTAACAGGATAAAATAGTGATAGAACAAATTCATGGAATTGAAATCATTAAAATTGAACTTTTGATTCATTTCTCCTGGAAAAGAGTTCTTTCGGCTCGTGTGATCCATTAAGGTGATTTTAAATGAATGTCACATTAAAAATTTTCAATATATTTTCTCCAATAAATTTTTAGTAATTTATAATATGATAAGATTTAGTTATTTTACTGAACAACTGGCTTAACAGTTTTAAATCCTTACATTATATGGTGTCGGTTACGATATCCATAAGCCTCTTCTTGAGCTCTCATATAGTCGTTAGCATAAACTATTTACTATTCATGCTTGAACGAGATATGGAAGCTTGTTTTCTAAAGCCGGAGAATATCGAGAACCCGGCAAGATGAGAATAGAAGAGATTCATAATATAAACCTTGAACGTCAGATTCATTATTAACTGTGTTTAATTGAATAATATATTGGAAGAGTCATTGATATGTAAGTTAAGCAATGTAAGGTTAAACATATACTAATGAAAAAAAATTTATAATTGTATTATACGCATTTTTATGCAGTAAAGAAGCCGTAAAGGCTCTTCTAAGTACTAGCTTTTCTTTCGTTTTCACAAGTACTTTTGCAATAAAAGATTCCGTGTGGCTTCCGATCGTTGTTACGACAATCATTTGAAACTGTTTTCTACGAACACTGATGCTGTTTTTATATACAAATACATATATATATATATATAACATCCTATAATCATCGGTAGACTATTAACTGCACAATTGAAATAAAATAAAAAACTACGCATTTTTAATGTACTTTTGTTTTTTTTTCTTTTGTTTATAGAAAATGATTTCTTTTTTATTTTATTAGAAATTTAATGATTATTTATAGCCTGTCAACACGAAATTTTTAATGGTAGCCGATAAAAAATATTTTTAGAGCATACTCCAAAGGAAATTTATTTATATAATATTGGAGTAAAAATAAATTATTATAAATAAGAAGTTAAAAATGATTTTAATTAGACTGGAGCTTTAATAATTATCATACAATTTAGTAAATTTAGTCCAGAAGACTCTCCTTTGATGAGATCTTCAATATCAGCTATCATTTACTCTAATCTATTTATTAAGAAAATATGAACAAATTTTATCTAGCCAAGTCTAGATTATTGGAACAATAGTTCTTTATCCCAGTTATCGATCTTATTTAAAATCAAGTAATCAATTTTTTAATTCAAATAGTTGATGAATATCAAATATATTAGATTCAATTTAAAAAAAAAATCTTTTTTTTCACTACAAATGTTTTTTCCCTTCAATGTTATTCAATAAAAATGAAGATTCTTTATCTCTTATTCAGATCTAGTTTTTTTGAAATAAACAATATGATTGAGTACCGTTTCAATGTCTTGACTCACCAATGAAATTAAAAACTTAATAATTCTCAACTTCATGGTTTTTAATTTATAAAAAAGCATTTCACTTTTTTCTGAGAATGAATTTTTTCTCATTATAATTGATTGAATGAACCATTGTCGATTTCTATCCACACTGATGCTGGTATGCAATCCATCTAAATACCAATACTGGTTTCGAGAAGATAAATAAGATGATCCATCTCCATACTAATTTGCATACAGCTATACAAAAATCATTCTTCGTAATATTTGTCGGTACTATTTAATTCTTAGGTTGTTTTCCATTTTTTTATAATGTTATGAATAAGTGCTTGAAATAACTGGACCAGAAATTAACACAAAATACTGCCGAAAGGCTGAGACAAGTTCAGTAAGAAAGAATTGTATTAATAAGAATTAAAATTATAATGGTACTTTCTGTCGTCCTGTTCTGAGGAGAGAATTTTCAACTATGGGGTCTATACATAGTACAGAATCACAATCAGCTTATGACATAGCCCCTCTTCTTCTCACCCTTCTTCACCTTCACTATTATTTCTTTCCTTTTTTTATTCTTTTCTAAACAATGTTTTATGTGAACTTCAAACAACCGGCACGAGTACATGGACATCTTGTTAGACTTGGGGATCCGGTCTGAAATGTATAGGAAATTCGATGCTATTTCAATACTTGTCAGAACCAAAGACATTTTATAGAAGTTGGATTGGGTTTTGAAATTACAATCTCGACATGAAGAAAACTTTAATCATTTACAGAGTGTTTATTTTAGAGAAGATTGCACAGTCGTGAAAGTTGGGAAAAGAATAAATATTATCAAAGCTACTTTTCCTGAAAATGTATTATAGAGAAATACTTGA